AGCACATAGAAGACCTCTCTCTCTGTCTTTCCTTCTCTCTGTGTGTAACTCTGACTTTCAAATAAATAAATAAATCTTTAAAAAAAAAAAAGCAGTTCTATTTATAATAGCATCTCAAAGAATTAACTACTCACGCTACATCTGAACAATGAAGCAAAACACTGAAAACTATAAAACATTGCTAAAAGAAATTAAAGATGTAAATCAGGGCTGGCGCTGCGGCGCAGCAGGTTAATGCCCTGGCCTGAAGCGCTGGCATCTCACATGAGCACTGGTTCAAGGCCTGGCTGCTCCACTTCCAATCCAGCTCTCCGCAATGGCCTGGGAAAGCAGTAGAAGATGGCCCAAGTCCTTGGGCCCCTGTACCCACGTGGGAGACTGAAAGAAGCTCCTGGCTCCTGGCTTTGGATCAGCACGGCTCCAGCAGTTGAGGGGTGAACCAGCAGATGGAAGACCTCTCTCTCTCTCTCCTCTCTCTGTGTAACTCTGACTTGCAAGTAAATAAATTAATCTTTTAAAAAAATAAAGACATAAATAAACAGAAAGACATCCCATGTTCATGGACAGGAAGAGCAAATACTGTTAAGATATCAGAGCTAACCAAAGAGATCTACAAATTCAATATAATCCCTATCAAAATTCTAAGCCTTTTCACAGACATGGAAAGGTAGATCCTCAAATTCACATGGACTTATAAGAGATCCCAAACAGCCAGAACATTTTGAAAAAGAACAAAGCTGGAGGACTAATACTTCAAATTTTGAAATTTACTAAGCTGCAGCCATAATACACTGTGACATGGGGATAATGACACAGAGACCAGTGAAATAGACTAGAGAGCCTAGAATAAGCCCACACATGTGGGCATAAGGTTAAGTGATTTTTTACAAACTTAAAAGGGGAAACAATATATTTTTTTCATCAACCAATGCTGGGAAAACTAGATATCCACATGCACAAAAACGGAGTGGGGTGGGCATTTGGCCTAAGAGTTGCGATGTTCACATCCCACAGCAGAGTGCTGGCTCTGTTCCTAATTCCAGTAGCTGAGTCCCTGCCACCCACACAGGAGACCCAGGCTGAGTCCCTAGCTCCATCCTTGGACTGAGCTGCCCATGCTATTGCAGGCATTTGGTGAGTGAAGAAGAGGATACGAGATTTCTTGTTCTGCCTGCCTGCCTATACCTGTCTCGGCATCTCAAATTAATAAAAGTTTTACAAAGAATGACATCGAATTCTTATCCATACACAAAAATTAACTCAAAATGGATCAAAGACCTAAACTTAAGAACTAAAACTATAAAATTCTGAGACAAAACATTGGGGCAAATCTTTCTGACAATGGATCTGAAAATGATTTCATGCATGTAACTCTTAAAGCACAGGGAACAAAAGAAAACTAAATTAGATTTCAACAAAATTAAGAGCTTTTTCACCAAAGGACACTATCAAGAAAGCAAAACAAAACAAAACAAAAACAACCTACAGAATAGGAGAAAATATTTGCAAATCACATCTCTGTCAAAGCATTAATGTTCAGAATATACGAAGAGGGGCTGGCGTCATGGCAAAGAGTTAAGCAACTGCTTCCAATGCCAGCATCCCATACCAGAGCTGCAGTTCAAGTCCTGGCTACTTCACTTCTGATCCAGCTTCCTGCTAACGCACCTGGGGAGGCAGTGAAAGATGGCCCACTCTCTGCCACCCAAGTGGGAGACCAGGACACAGTTCCTGGCTCGTGGCTTCAGCCTAGCCCACACCTGGCTGTGGCAGCCATTTGGAGAATGAACTAGTGAACAGAAGATCTCCCTTATACACACACACTCTCTCTCTCTCTCTCACTCTGCTTTTTAAATAAATAAATCTTTAAAATATATATATATATAAACCATTCTTCCAACTCAACAATAACAAAAGCAAACCAATTAATAAAGGAGCAAAAGATCTGAATAAATAATTTTTCAAACAAATGGTCAATAAACATATGGAAAGATGATTCAGCATCACTAGGCATTAGGCAAATACAAATCAAAAATCACAATGAGATACCACTTTATACCTACTATAATGGCTGTGGGAAAATAACAAGTGTTGGTGAGAATGGAGAACCTGGAATCCTCAAGTACTGCTTCTGGGAATTTAAAGTGGTGTAGCCACTGTGGAAAACAGACTGGCAATTCTTTAAAAGTTAAACACAGAAGTATCATTACAAACCAACAATTCCACCCCTCAGTATGTAGGAGTAGATATTCAATGGAATTGAAAGCAGTGCTTTGGACAGATACCTCACATCCGACATCAGAGTGTCTGGATTGAGTCCTGGATACTCCAGCTGTCTTCAAGAGCACCTAAGAGGCAATGGATGGTGGCCCAAACACTTGAGTTCCTGCCACCCATGTAGGAGACCAGGAAGGAGGTCAACACTAGTGGCATCAGCCTGGCCCAGCCTTGGCTACTGCATACATTTGGGAAGTTGTCGCTCCCCCTCTTCGTGGAGGAACAACACAGGACCCTGCGCTGTTCTTTCGTCTGCTCGGCCCTCCCCGGGTTTGCTGCTGGTTCTTCCCGGGTTGGCTACTATCCCTTCCACCTCCGTGGAAGGGCAGTTCCCCCTGGCCGCATTCCCCACTTCCGCAGGGGAGCGGCACACCGCCGGCCGGCTCTCTCGGGGGCTGCACGGGTTCCCCTAGATGTTCCCCATAGATGTTCCTGGTGCATGCCGTCTCTCTCCTCCTTTATAGTCCTCTTTCGCCAATCCTAACTCGGCTGCCCACACGCCAAGTACGCTGCTCTCCAATCAGGAGCAAGTCCTACAATTAATTGGTTGAACTGGAGGCAGCTGTGCGGAAGCTGTTTACTTCTCTCCCAGCGCCATATTGTGGGAGAGCAGATGCATAGAATAAGTCCTAATTCGAGTAACTTAGTCTAGTCCGGATTGCTCCCCACAGGAAGTGAATCAGTAGATGGAACATTTCTTCCCCTTCCCCTCACCCCTGCCCCCACCTCTCTCTTTCTCTGTCAATACCCCATTCAAATAAAGAAGAAGAAAAAACTTTTCTCTGTTTTCTACATTTTCATTCAACTACTCTTTGGATGAATAAAGAAATTTATGTTTTAAACCCTTTTCAGGGGTCAAGATGTACATGGTCCATCAGTATAAATTTTTCCTCTCTAGGTAGGAAATTTTGTGCATTTGGACCAGCACTGACACAGGATTTACTCACCAAGGGCTCCTTGTGTGAAAAGATCACCTACAATGATTTAAAGAAGTTCTCTGCCACCCAGCAAAGCTGACGCTCTCTACCAGGCAAGCCAGCCTAGCCTGCCAGAGGCCCACACACCACAGCCCTTGTGAGCCACAACCTCTCCTTCTCTGCCAGTCCTCTGGGTGCTGGACGAGCTGGGTAGGGGCTGCCAGGGCCCCTCCAAGGCACAGCTTCCTCTGGATGTGTGAGAAAGCCCCCAATTTGACCTTCGACCAACAAATTAAAACAGGAATAGCAACTCAGACATGCAAGTGAGAATTTTCCTTCAATTTAATTAATCCAAATTGTTACTATGAATTTACCCTCACAAGTACCCTAAGAGCTCCCCAGGGGGTCCAGTCTGCTTGGTGAATAACACTGACACTGAATTGGGTTTTTAAGCAGGACCCAAAAGACCTGTTCTCCCCTTCCTGACAAGTAAATAAAACGGCAGGGAGATCAAATAACTCACTAAAAAGAAGATATAATTTTTTATCTTCCTTTTTACAGTCTCATATCCACTTCCGTTGGGAATAACAAAGTCTGAATTCTTATGCAACACTTATCTAAATGTGTCGATTTTATCGGATTGATGAATTTTGCTAACAAAAGGCTGTGCCAGGAAATCTTTTATGACATATTTGGCCCATTCACAGGGCTGGAGCTTTAATTTAACCAACTTGAGAATTCTGAGGGAGAGCTGCAGGTGTTGGATCTGAAAAAAGAAATCATAAATGGGAAGGCATATCAATCTTTATGACAGGGAAACAAAAACACTCTCCACTCGCTTGCCCTCCACAGGCAGGAGAAGGAGAGGCGGAAGGAGCAGGATATTGTCTCAGGCTGCATAGCAAAGAGGAAGCAGCCCCGTCTCCCAGTGACCGCTGTTTAGTATTGATCAAAAGGGACCAGCCCAGAGAGGAAGAGAGAAATTGATAAAACAATGAGGTTTGCCAACACCGTGTGCTCAACAAGCACATTTTCCCATTTTCTTGACTGCATCAGAATTAGTCATTCCTGCGCCAGGTGCCTTTTGGTCCCACAGGCCCCCTGCCTCCCACTCCTCCCACCCACCCAGGAGCACCTCTACGCTTCAGCCTCCTGCTTCCCGACGAATCAGAGCAGCCTGCTTGCAAGGTCTACGCACTTTCCTGTTAGAGATCTCTCCTGGCAGCCCTCCCTCCTGCACGGCCTCAACTCAGCCACACCTTCACTTCCAGGGAAACCACCACAGCCCATCTCTTCCTCCTCCCCCCTTTCTTACCCTTTTCCCCCCTCCTCCTCTTCCCCCTCCTCCATTTTCCTGCTATCTCCTGGGCCCTTGACTGCCAAGCCAGCCTTCCACCTGCAGCCAGTGGTCTCCTGATTGGAAAGCTCACTCAGCCTGGCACAAAAATTTGTCAATGACTTCCTACTCCGTCAGACAAAAATCATAGCCTGCAGAGACCCTCTGTGCTGTGGCACTCCCCCAGCTGGCCTCCAGCCACCACCCACTCTGCGGCAGACATTTCCCCTCCACCCTCAACTTCTCACCCTAAGAAATGAGCTGCAGATCACTGCATTTCCTTATGCTCCTGCATTTTTCAGCTTCTTTTCACACAGCACCTCAGCCTTTACCTGGTGTTAACGCAAGTCTGATGCTGAGCAAGCAGCAGGTGAGAGTCGGCTCCCTGGGATGGAAGCAGACACCTGCCAGCCCCATCCAGGCCCCAGAGCCTTCAGCTTACACAAGCATCCCTCCATTAGCAAACCTACTTGGTGTTCTCTAGGGTTTTCTGCATCTTCTTGGTCATTTTGTCAATCGCTGCCTGTCTCTTCCCCTCTGCCAAGAGGTCTATCTTGTTGAGCACCACGACCAACTTTTGGCAGGCGATCTGGCCAATGACCAGGCACTCTGCTGACTGGGTCTGCATTCCCTTGGTCACGTCGATGACCAGCATCATCAGGTCAATGATCTGGGCTCCTGGGGGAGAGAACACACAGTTACAAAGGGGAAGTGGGTGTTAAGGCCCCAGGTCAGGCAAAACATTGTGCTGAAATGGGCAACATGGAAGGAATGGTGACCCCACACCTCCTGGCTTCGACCTGTGCAAGGTGCTTACACGCGAGGATCTCACCGACACCTCAGAACCGCCTCAAGAGACAGAGCAGAAAGCGAAGCCCACAAAACGCAGAGCTCGCCCAAGGGTGAGCAGCTGACATGCGCAGCAAGGCTGAGATTGGGGGAAGGCTTGCCTGACTCTGAAGCACTAATCCTATCGCTTTCATTCCAACGACACAGGAAGAAATGTCCCAGCAAGAAAAGCTCCCGCTTTGTGCTGGTCTGCAAATGCTGAGATGGGCACTCACTAAGCACGAGGAGACACAGACAGAAAAAGTAGGAGGAAGAGGGATGAACAGTGTCTTCCCGCAACACTGTGGTTCACTGAGGACCATGCCGTGCAAGGCGAGTGCTATCTACTCACTTCCTATTCTGTTTGGGAGGCTCTAGTTCCTTCTGGAAGGCAAGGATACTCACAGCTCAGCTACATAACCCCTGAGCGGAATGTGTTTGTGCACGCACGTATGCGCGTGGCTGAAAGCATCACCTTCATGGAAGGTACCCAGAGCCAAACAGCAGCAGGAGCCATCAATGAGGGGACACTGCCAGAAGCCAACGAGACCGTGCCCTTTATAATGGGAGGTAGAGTCGTTTCTAAAAACAGATAGGCCGGCGCCGTGGCTCACTTGGCTAATCCTCCATCTGCGGCGCCGGTACCCGGGTTCTAGTCCTGGTTGGGGCACTGGGTACTACTCCCAGTTGCTCCTCTTCCAGTCCAGCTCTCTGCTGTGGCCCGGGAGGGCAGTGGAGGATGGCCCAAGTGCTTGGGTCCCTGCACCCGCATGGGAGACCAGGAGGAAGCACCTGGCTCCTGGCTTCGGATCCACGCAGCACTGGCTGTAGTGGCCATTAGGGGAATGAACCAATGGAAGGAAGACCTTTCTCTCTGTCTCTCTCTCACTGTCTCTCTCTCTCTCTCTCTAACTAGTTCTGCCTGGCAAAAAAAAAAAATATATATATACACACACACACACACACACACACACCAGTGTGCTTCTGCAAAAGCAGAAAAACACAAATATTTTCTACATTGAAGCAAATGGTGACTCCTTTTTGAGTCTACGAGAGAGTGCCCATCAGGGTATTTTCAGGACCAAATGACGGGGAGGAGAGGAAGACGGCTATGTGCACGACCCTGGTACCCCACCCCTGCTGGGGCTGAGAAGAGGACCTGGTCTGTGGGCACAGTGACGACATGTACCACTGCCGCTCCCTCCCTCCATCAGCCTGCTGTCCTCAGATCCAGAAAGGGAGACTCAGAGACAGGAGGTCACCTGCTCCGGATCACACAGCAACTGGAAACAAAGGGGTCCTGACGCCACTACTGTAGAATTCTCCCCTGCTGGAGCCCTCTAGCCTCCCCAAGGAGACACAGTGTGTGTCTCTGACTCCAGGCAGGCCTATGGACACCCCAACTCTCTTCCCTCCCTGGTCTCACGTCCCACCTCATCTTGTCAGCCAGGGACATGGTCCCCAACGGTCAGCAGGGCAGCCAAGCTGAGCACACAAAACAGCAGTGGCAGAATCTGCCCAGTCCAGGCACTGGGTGGGGGAGCCCAGGTCTCAGCTAGAGACTGGGGGTCACTGCCTCCATCATCCACTATGAACATGACAAATTGCTTACCCAGATGAGACTTTTTTTTTTTTTTTTTTTTTTTTTTAGAATTGAGGCCTACATGACCTCACCATCTGGCAGAATCCTTCTCGTATCTTCTGAATCACCAACTCGCCTCTGTCCCAGCTCAGCCCCCAAAGCCACATGAGGCTCGGCTGGTTCCCTAACTGACCGCTTCACTTCCAACTTGTTCCACTAAAATCCATGCTCCTAATAACCTCCCCAAGGGAATTTTCTAAAAATAATGAAACTGATTCATACACTGTTGGGGGAGGGGGAGTTAAAACTGGAAGACTTCTATGAAGTTCAACTAGGAAGCAGCTACCAAAGTGCACAGCATCTCGCACAGAACCCAGCTGGGTACATGTGAAATGTCCCTGTGCGTGTTTGCAGGAAAGCACATCGACATCCCTAAGGGAGGACAGGTCAGCAACTAACAAATGATGCTACTCTCAGGCAAAAGAATACTATACACCCATTAAAAAGAATGAGGAGCCAGCGCCGCAGCTCAATAGGCTAATCCTCCACCTAGTGGCGCCAGCACACCGGGTTCTAGTCCCGGTTGGGGCGCTGGATTCTGTCCCGGTTGCCCCTCTTCCAGGCCAGCTCTCTGCTGTGGCCTGGGAGTGCAGTGGAGGATGGCTCAAGTCCTTGGGCCCTGCACCCCATGGGAGACCAGGATAAGTACCTGGCTCCTGCCATCGGATCAGCGCGGTGCGCTGGCCGCACTGCGCCAGCCGTGGCGGCCATTGGAGGGTGAACCAATGGCAAAAGTAAGACTTTTCTCTCTGTCTCTCTCTCTCACTGTCCACTCTGCCTGTCAAAAAAAAAAAAAAAAAAAAAAAAAAAAAAAAGAATGAGGAAGCCCCTCCTGTACTACCATGGAACGATCTCCAGGGCAGAGTGAGAGGGAAAAACAAGGGCGCGACAGTGCGGGGTGCTAAAAACAGGGAAAAGGGTGGGGACGCGTGCGTGTGCGCGTGTGTGTGTCTGTTGAGCACTTGCCCCTCTGTGTATGAAACCTCTCTGAAGGAATATAAAGAAACCAACGCCTTTGTTGTCCAATGGGGACAGAGAGAAAATGGGGTAGGAAGAGAATTCTCCTCTGCACATTCTTCTTTTCACTTTAAATACAGCTTTGCAGAATCCATTTTGATAACCATACAATGATCATTTAAGTGCAGAAATAAATAACTAAGAAAATAAAGCACAGACCTGGTCATGCTGTTCTCTTGCCAAGTCCTCTGAATAAAATCACCCTGACCCTGGCTCCAGAGTTCCTTGCCTGTTACCTACGTGCTGGTTCACATCTGTGCCGGGCACCATGCTGTGGGCTGCATAAAACCCCCTTTCCTGGGGCCCCATGACACTCGCACTTCCCCCCATGAGGTGAAACTGAGGATACCCACCCTACCCCAACAATGCATCCAACCACCTCCCTGTTCCTCCCAGCCACCAGCCACCCTGGGGACTGGTCACAGGCCATGAAGCGGGCTCTCGAGGATGGGTGGGATGAAGCCTGCAGGTTCACCTGGGGATCCCAGGCTGCGTGCTGTTCTCCGTGGAGACTTGACAGCCATCTTTTGCAAAAGGCTCCCAGCACCTGGTGCAGCGGGCCTCCAGCTCTGGTAGGCAGAGCTGTGTCCTCAGAGCTAAGGTTACCTCACAAACTGCTGAAGAGCTTTTCAGGAGTCACCAGCTGCCCAGCTGCCCAGTCCCTCACTACAGATGAGGAGCTCACAGCTTTGGATCTGTGAGGTGCTTGCCCATGGTTACACAGCACACAGGAGGCAGAGAAGAGAGCTGACCTACAGTGCCCCCGTCCTTCCCAGTGGGGACTCCAGCCGTGTGCCAGCCTTGTCCCCCCTGCTCCACTTCCCACCACACAGCCCTCCCCGCCTGGCCTCGGCTCCTGCTCTACCTGGAACACCTGCTCAAGCTTCACTCTCCCCTGGCCTCTGCCCCTCCACCCACTTGACTCTTGAGAGCTCAGAACCAAGCCTCAGTTTGCAATCTGTATTCACAGCACAGGGCCCAGCTTGGGCCCAGCTTAATAAATCTTTGTTGGGCTGAAATGAGCAAATGTTAGCTCTCCCCGCCTCCTCCACTTTATTTACCAGGAGCCTGTTCCTTTTCTCCAAGATTCAATTTCCTATTGGTATATACACCCTAGAGGGGTGCCTCGCCTCGCCTCGCCCCGCTGGCAGCAGGGGAAGCACTCACATGTCAGGCCCTGTCACCTCGCATGCCTGTCGGAATCGTGGGGATGGGAAATGAACTGACCGACAGACCCAGGAAGCCGAGTGTGGACAGAACCCACACACCCAGCTACAAGCCGCCTTTGTTCCAGTGAGCACACAGCGCTGCTCTAAGGCCAGGCTCTCGAGCAGACCCCTCTGCGGCGCGGCCAGCGCCAGGGACTTGTAAGGAGACCAGAGGTCACGGCAGCCCGACTGGCCGCGCTGAGAAGCAGGGCACCGCCGTGAAGCGGGGTCAGCACCAGGCAGGGGCCGCTGCCCGGCAGCAGCTCTCAGTTCCTCTCATTTCTCCATCAAACTTTTGATCAGACGGCAGGAAGTGACACAACTGGCCTGTCCTGTCTTTTCAAAATCCCTGGTATTGCCACAGAATGAATCAAACAGTGTCCCTCCCGATTCCCACGGACCCAGGGTAGGAAATCATTGTGAGACCAGAGGGACAGAGTGAGCGAGTGGGTGGGAAACACAAGACAAAAAACGCGAGCCTTATAAATGGCCCTCTATACTGCCCAACCCGTCAGAGCTTTTCATCTGGCTGTGCTGACTGCGGGACCCTTGAAAGGTCTGCAGAGTAATTATTACAGGGTTAAAGTTGCTCCTACTCTGAGAAATGACAGTTTCCAACTCTGTAGATTATATATCTGAATCATCTCAAAACTAAAAATAATGAAAAGCTTACAAAGGTCAGCATTTAGCAAAGTATAAATTCTCTGAGAAGTCATTTTCCTTAAGCAAAAACTTGTCAGAAAAACATTTCAGTGGAGAAATTGAATATCAAATTGTAAGCATTTTTTTAGCAATTTAAAAATCAGATTTTTTAAAAATCAAAAGCTGTGGTCATTATAAGAAGAAAAATAATATTAAAGAAAATTTGTTTTCAACTGGTGGTTGTTTTTTTAAAAAGATTTATTTATATAAAAGGTAGAGTGAGAGACAGACAGACAAACAGAGAGACAGAGAGAGAGAGAGAGAGAACAAACAGAGAGATC